TCAAGCAGTAACCAGGCATGGAAAATCATTTGTATTCATTTCGTGCATTCATTTACATTCATTTGCCTCTAACTTTTTTTTAACAGCATTTCGCAAATTGATGTATATAGATTTTATAGGTTTTGTTATTAGCTACAACTTTTGTTCACAAGTAAAATTCGTATCTCTTATGCACGATGAACCACAGCGAACAGAAGCCACTACTGTTTTTCAGTGAATGTATTTTACATTCACTGAAAAACAGTAACAAGTTCTGCCCACTCTAGTTCGTGATGCATAAGAGATATAGATTTTAATTATAAGCAAAAGTTGTAGCTTATAATAAAACCTACAAGCTGCATACATCATTTTGCGGAATGCTGTTGATGAAAAAAGTTAGAGGCAAATGAATGTAAATGAATGTATGAAATGAATGCAAATGATTTTCCATGCCTGGCAGTAACTACCCACATGACTTATGAGCTCTTTTTAATGTTTGGTTCCCGTTTGACAGTTCGACTCGGCTCCCAGATGACAAGCATTTTGAGTTATTTCGCATTACTCAGGTACCAACTAGAAATACTCAGAGGGAGAGATAGGCGAAGAAAACAAAATTCAATTCGGAAGCAGAGATTTGTTCCTAAATTATCTTGCAACCCTTGCTAGAAGCTAGCATTTCAAATGAGTTTTATTTTTGATTCGAGTTACGTGCAAAATAATAATTGATTGCATCGCAATATTTCGCACATTTCTTGGTGCCATTCATTAAACAACGAAGATCAATTAATCAATAGAGTTAGAATATTGTTTTTGGTTCCAAAAACTAGTTAAATTTGAGAAGCACACAAAACATAAAGGGGATTGAATTTCTGTTCGTTTGCAATACTAGAAAGAATAAGAAATCCTCGGAAAAATTCTAATCGGAATGTTCGATTGGCTCAGATTCTGACAGTTCATTTGGCTCAAAACATTCTCTCCGCCCATCTCTCCCTCTGAGTATTTCTAGTGCCAACCAATCCAACAATTTTGAAATTTATTGCGAAATTGTACGGACCTATTTAAAATCATTCAATGATAATGTGTCGATTTTATTGATTTCTTACGAGTAATGGTAATTTGAAATTTTACCGACTTTTTCAGTAGTTCAAAAAACGGGTAAAATTTTACCGACTTAGGTTATCTGAATTCAGTGTGTAGTTAGTATAATGAGAGAGAGAAGGATTAGTGTAGTTAGTATTTTCCATAGGTTCAGCAACGACGTTTCTCTTTTGACCCGCTGATCCACGTTTCTTGTGTGGGGAAATTGAGACAAGTAATATTGACTTTAATACATTGAGGTTAAAAGGCTTCAAACGTATTGCCATTGATGTTGTCAATATTCGTAAATTGATGATATTGATAGAAATGACTGTTTTTTTTGTCAATATATTCTGAGTATTGACAAAGTGAAATGAAAATCAGCTTTTCGTCAATACTTGTCATCAATCATCATCATCAATATCACCTTTTCAATAATATTGTCAGTATGTCAATTTATTGTCAATATATTGACATGTGTAATGGGCGCTTCACGTCAAATCATCCTCTCACTGAAGTTCACTCTCCCTCTCTCTCTCTCGAGGAGTTTTTGTTTACTTCTTCCATATTCCTGCCACCACTCACTCGAGGTGACGGCTGGCTAAACTCGCAGGACAAGAGTGTTTTAAAACTTCCAGTGAGATTTGATTTTTTTAATATTTTCCCCAACATTGTTGATGGGTATTTTGACAGTATTCCACCCTCTTGGATTTCAAAATGGTGACAGATAACACTTTCTGGCCTATAGACATCACCCCAATTCCAAAAGCACCTATTTGAGATGGGTATTTGGCAGTATTTTACACTTTTCTAAAATTGGAAGCCACCTCTTGGATTTCAAAATGGCGTCGCATATCGATTTTCATTCGCTCGATGTCATTCCGATTGCAAAAAATACCTAAATTGATGGGTATTTGATAGAATTTCCAACATTTTCTGAAACCGGAAGCCGCTATCTTGGATTCCGTTATGGAGTCGGTCATCGAATCCGGCCTCTTGACGTCATCCCGATTTCAAAAATACCTATATTGCCTATCCACATCAACACGCCCAAAACATCCATTGACGTTGCCCTTGCAGTCGGGGTAAACGTGAGCAATTCTTATGACCTACATCACCCAGAGATGTCTGAACTTAACAAACTGGTTCATGAAATAGTCCAGAGAGGTCTTGACGACCCATCGGTTAGAGCATTCGAGGCACGGAGAGGCCTTATGAGCATATTCAACGATACTGGAGCCATTTGTGTCACAGATCATGCTCCAATGGTCCGACTGGGATTGATGGCCATGACATTCGCACCGGAGAAGTGGGTCGCATACAACACCAGTTGCGTCCAGAATGTGTGTGCGAATGGGTTCGTCAAGCTTGCGGATGTGTCACTCAAAATTACGGAGGCACCGGCGAGCAAAGATCAGCGGCACAAGTGTCATTTGGTGGTGAACCATCAACCTGTACCGTCAGTTATTAAATGCAACCGCTGATTCTCGTGTACAGTTGCCATTGAGAGACTCCCCGGCCAAAGTGACATCCATCGTTAGTCCAGGCATAGTCAAGTTCATTCCTGTAAACACAAGCTGGGCGGCCAATCCTTCGGTAATGCCTTTCGTAATTGCGCATACCTCAACCATATGGTGGAACCATGCGGTGAGATATGTTATGAAAGTGTCTTTACATGACCAGAAAGCCAGTACCATCTATGTTCCTGGCAACACAAATTACATATGTCTCGTCTTGGTGGACGCAGAGGACCCAAGCTTTCCGCCAACTAGGGACTCTTTGCTTGGACCAGGTGACGGAAACAATACATACAGGGTCGCCTGGAACGGTACCAACACATTCGCAAAATATGTAAATCAGTACTTGGGAAGGGCGGCTGATGGTATTAAGCACTGTCCCGTTGATTTCGTTGAGCCATGGAGACGGATGTGTTCTCAATCTGTCCAGTTGTATGAGCCCATGTCAATACAAATGATGTTGGCCGTATTGTGTGTCCGTCCAGATTCTACGGTTACAGTGTCTGGACTGATCCGGACAAGGCAAAGTCTAAACATACCATGGATGATGAGCTGAAGTCTCGGAGCGAGAATGGAGCCTGAGAGTTGACAACACAACATTGCCATCAGAAAGCAAGGTAATCCGATGCCGTTGGATCTACAAGAAGAAACTGAATGAAATCATACGGTATAAAGCAAGGTTAGTTGCACAGGGTTTTACTCAGCGGTATGGTCTTGACTACGACGAAGTTTTTGCTCCGGTCGCAAAGCAGGTGACGTTTCGTACACTTCTGACCGTCGCTGGACGTGACGGAATGCAGGTTAGGCACGATGAAGTAAAGACTGCATATTTGAATAGTGATCTGGAGGAGACTATTTACATGCGAGTACAACCCGGACTGCGCGTTGGAAGTAACACAGTTTGTCGGTTGCGTAAGAGTCTATATGGGTTGAGGCAATCAGCCAGAGTTTGGAACCATAACCTGAATGATGTTCTGAAGCGACTTGGATTCAAACAGGCGGACGCTGACCCGTGTCTGTACGTACAGAAGAGGAACGGCAGCACAGTGTACATCCTGGTGTACGAGGATGATATGTTGATCGTTACATCCAATAACGAAGAACACGATGGAGTTGTGAAAGCCTTGGAGAACAAGTTCCAGATCACAAAACTTGGTGACGTGACGTATTTTTTAGGTATAAGAGTGACAAAGCATGTCAACGCCTACTGCTTGGACCAAAGTTGGTTGCGCAGTTTGGACTTGCGGAAGCTAGGGGATCACGGATTTCAATGGACGTCGGATATTTACAGCAAAAGGAGGAGAATGAGAGGCTTCCGAACAATGAGAAGATTCAGAGCCTCGTCGGAGGTTTGTTGTATCTATCGGTTAATACTCGGCCGGATATTGGAAGGCTGGTGAGCAAACCAACGAAGGCGGATTGGACGGAAGCAAAAAGGGTGTTGCGATCAGTGGCGTCACGTAACCTCACTTTTTACCTGTTCAACAACTTTGAAAACGTTATTTTGGGTCATGTTTACATTCAAATCAGTTTCAAAGGGCATAGGGTCTTCTAGTTTCACTGATTTGTATCCATTGGAACCAATATTGTTTTGTTTGTTTACGTTTTGAGAGTTGTTGAACAGGTAGATTGAGGTTAGGGTGACGCCACTGGTTGCGATACCTGAAAGCGACAAGTGATTTGAAGCTGAGACTGGGTTCCAGTGATGAAAAACTTCTGGCTGGTGGTTCGATTTCATGGTGTTTGGCTGGTGGTTCGATTTCATGGTGTGCTAGAAAGCAAGCATGTGTGGCACTTTCATCGACCGAAGCGGAGAGTATATCTCGTTGGCTGAAAGCTGTCAGGAGTTGCTATGGCGTGAAAAGCTAATGAAGGACTTCGGGGAGCCTGTGCAGAAATCGGTGCAGATCTTCGAAGACAACCAAAGCTTCATAAAAATGTTGGACCAGAACGCAGGACTGAAACGTTCGAAGCACGTGGATACCAAATTTCATTTTGTGCGCGATTTGGCGGAGAAACAGAACATAAGTGTGACTTATTGCCCTTCAGCGGATATTGGTCTTCGATCTCTGCGCGATGAGGAGGAGTGATGACAACAAAAACCTCACTTGTGTTTGTTGTCTTGACCAGTAAAGACGTGTTTTTATTTACTCTGCTATTTCACGGCTAACATTCTGTTGACGTTGAAGGGGGATCTGCTCAAAGAGAAAACAGAATGACTTCCAATTGAAAGTGACTTTGTTGAGCCCTGGTCTGCACTGACTCTCATGGCTGGAGTCAACTCAAAAGTTCGTCAACTTTTTATGCAGCCCAATTAAATGATGATAAGTGGTTTTTAAACGATTAACAATGCACAAATAAAAAAAAATAACCTGGATTGAACTGTCAGCAAATTTGTTTTATTCCCAAACTTATGTGTCCAGCCTTAGGCAAAAGCCAGATCGTAAGCAGCAGCACCGACCGACCCAGCGCATCATCGGCATTGCCTAGAATGCCGACTCAGCAGCAACAACGATCGGGACTACGAGAACCGCGATCGTCAGCAGTCAGGACAAGTTCAACATTTTGTAGCAAGCCCAGATAATGTAAACAGGGCGTCAGCATCTACCAGCATGAGAGTTGAGGAATAACTAAAATTCGAGCTAGTTGGTTGAGCTAGTGAACTAGCTTAAGTGTAAACACCCCATAAACGAGTCAAGTAGTTAATTACGGAGATCCGAACTTCTTACAGCTATACATTTTAATTTTTTTTCATTCTCATTTGATAGGTTACAAGTAGCTGATAGGTAGAAAGAAACTGTGTTCTTCACGAACAAGACAGTAGAAAGAAGAGAACAACCGTTACAGCAGCTACAATTGCAGACACTAAACTTTGTTTTTGGTTTTAAAATAAAAACTACCCGGCTACTCACCGGACCAGGTCAAAACTCACAATAATCCTGGCTCTGTAACTGTACAATACCTTAATCTATAGACAGTAATTCTCTGCAGAACGCGCGAGTGCGGTTCCTCCGCCTCGCAATTAAAAACGAAAAAAAAAAAAAACAAATCTAAGAATCCCCGGCAACGACGGAATCGACGATGGTAATCGAAAGGCCATCCTCCGATGCGGCAATCTTGGCATCGATCGGCATCCCGTGCACGCTATCCGGTTTGCCGTCTTTCATCTTCCCCTTCAGCTTGGGTAGATCTGAGGGAAAAGAACGAATAATGATAAAAAATAAAAAAAATCCTCGCTCAATAATTGCCCATTGCTACTCACTTGCCACAAACACCTCATTGTTGTAGACGACGCGACTGATCCCAGGCGGGAACCGCCGCACATTGGCGGCCGGAACGCTCGCGATGATGCCCACGTCGAGCAGCATGAAGCTACCGTCGGAAATGTCGTACAGCGCCCGGGACCAATCCTCTTGGTACAGCACCAGGCAAACCTCACCCTCGTCGGTCGGTTTGTACACGTTGGAATCCGCCCCGCCCGCCAGATTGCACTGCTCCAGCACCGCTGCGTACTTTTCCACCTCTTCGAAAGCCACCACCGAGATGATGCGCGTCTCCAGCACGTCGCTGGCGTCAATTATGAGCAGCTTTTTGGGGCCTCCCATCGGCAGCGGCTTCGTTTCCATCGATTCCTTTGGTTGCAAATGGGGTGGGGGAGGGGTAAACAAGATTTAAGTTATCCTCTTCGGTAGTCCAAATCGACCGTTTGTAAAAGTTTCCGGGTTAGTGCTTAAAACTAAATTGAACTTCAATACCGAAACATCCTTTTTTATTAGAAACATGCACAACCGTTTTCTACGTCATCTCAACGTCTCCTCTCACATCTTCAATCATCCTACTAATCACCGACCAAAAATCTTCATCCGACATGTTATCCGTCAGACCAATACTTCTACTACTTACATCGAACAGCACCGGCTGATAGTTGCTCGGATCGGCAACCTTTACCTCCACCTTGTCCACCTTACGCACTTGCTCCTGCTGTTGTTGCAGCTTCTTCTCCTGCTCCTGCTGCTGCTTCTTCTCCTGTTCCTGCTTCTTCTCCCGCTCCTTCTCCAGCCGTTCTCGCTCTTTCTGTTCCTCGCGTTCCTTCCTCAGCCGAAGCTCGCGCTCCTTCAGCTCTATCAGTTCCATGTTCAACGTAAGCGATTGTTTCGGTCGCTTCAAGACTACCGACATCGAACCTCGAGCCGGTTCAGCCTTGACCAGCTCGAAGTCCTCCACGTGTTCCAAAGTCTCCAACAATTTGATCATTTCTCCGGTGAACGAATCGACTCCTTCCATCACCACCGGATAGGTCAAATACTTGGCCCACTTCAGATCCCCGTCGGCGATCTCCCTCGACTGCTTCCACGGTACCGTATCGGAATTGCCAAAGTCCACAAAGAACACCTCTAGCTTTTCGCCATCGACAGAGAGCACCTTAGCCCGATAGAATCCCCCGAGGAAAGGAGCAAAGATGACATCGTCCACAGATGGGACCTCCGTTAGTGGCTTTGCATCGGCCGTTGCCTTGAACATTCGATTGGTCAACAGGTAGTAATCACTGTGTTGACCGCCTTCCTTGCCATTGTTGTGGTAGATGTAAGCCACTCCCGATGGCAGCGAAGCGGTAATCTTGACCATGGATCCTTCCCGAGGGAACACCCCCGGTAGAAGGACACCCTTTGCCACCGGCGTCGCAGCGGCGGCGGCTCCTCCCACGACCGATTTGGCAATCTTCATGCGCTGCAGTTTGTTGGCTACGCGGCTGACCTTGTTATCCGGCGCCGGCGCTTCAACGGGCGAACTATTGGGAGTTAGCTGATCGGCTTTCGGTTGCTGTTGCCTAGGACTATCCTTGTTCAGATTTTTCCCTTGGTTGTTGTTGTTGTTGTTGTTCTTTCTAGCATTGGTCTGACCGCGATGGTTGTTTTGGTTCTGTTGCTGCGATTGGAGATCCGACGAGAATGGAGCGTTCGAGAACATGGAGGATTGCTTGGAAGCGGTCGCTTCCAGGATGATGCGCTTGTTAGAATAGGAAATGGGAACCAGACGACTGTTTTCCGGGGGAGAGGAAAGAAAAGCGATTAGCAGATCAAGTGATTGATTTTCCTAGAGGTGCTACTTACGGTAGGCAGATATCTTTGTGGATCGGCCAATCGGTCCGCTGGCATTCGGCGTCGCAATAGAAGGCACCACAGCGGCACTCGAAGCTGGGCAGCTTGGTACAAGACCAGCAACCGAGACTGAACTTGGGTTGGTAGGGGTCCTGGGGGAATGAGAAATGTAAACGTAAGCGCTCGATTGATTGGTTGGTTGGAAGTTTGAGGTTTAGCGGCAAGATCTAACGTTCATTTTTCGGTAGATATCTATGACTTACAACAAAATGTAATTCACCTTAACATCAACGACTGAATTATTTTAAGTAAATTATCATGACTGCCAAAAACAGTAGAGATGGGCAAAACGGATCACTTAGGTGAACGTCTCAGAGTCGGTTCATTGCTACAAGCGATCCGGATCTTTTCAACGGTTCATCGGATCACTTAGTCCTAGTCTGATTTCATTAGCAACTCATTCTCATCAAATATCCATTGTCTGCACTGCCGCTCTTCGCATGTCCGTCCCGTATGTCGTGTTTACATTATCCTGGTTCAGCACTGTCAACTAGCTCATCCAGCACGGATTTCAGTTGTACCTGCAATCTCATGCTGGTAGATGCTGACGCCCTGTTTAAATGATGCTGACTTCTTTTGACGTAGACTACGTCTTACGGAAAGGTACAAGGGGTAAATCGAAAACCTATTATTGCGGCCGTCACGAAAAGGTGTTAGGTTTTGAACGCTTATAACTTTATCATTTATAGATGAAATTAAAATCCAAATACACCAAGCGATAGGATATACCTCTACGAACCCCTATACCCCTCGTATTCTACGACGACAAGCAGAATGGGTACGAGCGAAGTGAGAAGTGAGAGGTTTTGTATGAGACAGTCCGTCGCGTGGTTATGTTCGCTTATAATAAAATTCTCGTAAATCCTACTATAGCGTGTTTTAATAATAACGAGAACATGGTGTCAGAACTGGTCGAAGACGAATAATACGTTTTTCGGAGTCAATTCCTCGGAATCGCGAATAAACGGGTGTAAAAATAAATAAATGTTTCGATACGAATTGTTCGTACATTGGAAGCCATTTTGTATCCCGTGTGTGTGAAAAAAAGATCCTCATCGATATGGATCCTACACAGTTCAAACAGTTTCTGGATCATTAGGCTCAGCTATTCACGAAGCTGGTGCAGGAGATGGCTACTCAGCAGCCGTCGTCTTCAAGAATCCCTGTACCACAGCCATCGCCGTTAGTCATAGAAGGGGACATGGAGATGAATATGAATTCTCACATGAGTCAGTAGATGATTATGTAGCGCGTCTCAAGGCAATCGCAAAAATGGCAAAGCTTAGTGCGCTTGAGAACGAGTTAGTTTCCTTCAAGGTCGTAACCGCTAACCGATGGCCACAATTAAGGACGAAAATGTTATCGATGGCAGACATCACTCTTGCGAAGGCCGTAGATATGTGTCGAGCCGAAGAGCCGGCCAAGCGATCGCTGGATTTCTTGAACCTAACATCGAAACCAGCAGATGTCAGTAAGTTTAGTAGAGGCAAGGCTGTCCTTCGGTGCAAATTCTGCGGAGATCGCCATGAATTCTCCAAAAGAAGCTGTCCCGCCTTAGGGAAACGCTGTCACAAGTGCAACGGCAAGAACCACTTTGGAAAAGTGTGCAAGGCTAACAGCAAACCGAAGCACCGAAGATCTCGACGTGTTAAGGGAGGTGAAGGACGGATCCAGCTATTCCAACGGTGAAACTTCATCTGAGAGCGACGTTTCATCGGAAAGGAATATGAGATCGGGAAGATTTTTGACAATTCTGATCAGGGCGGAAGTGTCCTGGCTGAATTAGACCTGAAGTTTGCGAACGTTTGTAAGTCCATCACTTGCGAAGTCGACACAGGTGCTAATACGAGTCTGATTGGATTCTCAACCCTGGTAAACCTCTGCGGAAAAGAAAATCCTCCACTGCTACCTTCCAAGCTACGTCTTCAATGTTTCGGGGGTAGTCCAATCAAAGTGTTGGGTCAGATCAAGATTCCATGTCGACGCAAAGGTAGGAGATATCGATTGGTCTGCAGGTAGTTAATGTCGATCACCATCACCGTCCGCTGCTTTCTGCAAAAGCTTCTCGAGTGCTTGGTTTTGTAAAGTTTTGCAAGGCAGTTGTGTTCAGCAAGTCGAATTCAACGGATACACCGGAGAAGCTACTCAACATTTACCGTATCAAAGCACAGGAGATTGTTGATAATCATCAGGATCTGTTCATCGGGTACGGGCAGTTCGCCGATACTGTTTCTTTGGAGATCGACGAAAGTGTTGCTCCATCAATCCAGCCTCCCAGGCGAATTCCAATCGCGTGAGAGAAAGGTTGAAGCCCGAGTAACACACTTTCATCACTATAAGTTACAGCAATTTGTTTATGACTAAAATAAGTCGTATATAAGTGTTTACAATTGATTTGTGACAAGCGTGCTACTAGGGAGAAAGAACTCGAGCAGTTGGAAAAAGATGGACAGATCATCAAGGAAGCAACACACACGGAATGGGTAAGCAATTTGGTCATTGTGCAGCGTCCCGGATCGGATGGAATTCGAGTATGCTTGGATCCGGTCCCACTAAACAAGGCGCTCAAAAGACCAAACCTGCAGTTCGTCACACTTGACGAAATCCTGCCGGAGCTCGGGAAGGCTAAGGTATTTTCAACCGTCGACGTTAAGAAGGGCTTCTGGCACGTGGTGTTGGATGAAGCCAGTAGCAAGCTGACCACATTCTGGACACCCTTTGGAAGCTTTCGTTGGACACGCTTGCCATTTGGGATCGCATCGGCACCGGAAATTTTTCAGTTGAAGCTGCAGGAAGCCATCGAAGGTCTTGAAGGCGTGGAATGCATTGCAGACGACGTGTTGGTATACGGAATCGGCGAAACATTTGAAGAACCATTGATGAACCACAATAAGTGCCTGGAAGCTCTCCTTATCAGATTGGAGCGGAATAATGTAAAGCTGAATCTATCAAAACTCAAGCTATGCCAAACATCCGTGAAGTTTTACGCACCCCTATTCTAAATATTTTTTTGTATGAGAATTTCGTTTGAAACGAAATACAGAATAGGGGTGACGGTCATGTGCTAACGGATCACGGATTGAAGCCAGACGGAAGCAAAATTACTGCTATTCGAGAGTTCCCCACGCCAACTAACAGGAAGGAAGTGCACCGTTTCATTGGAATGGTAAACTATTTGAGCCGTTTTATCAGAAACCTCAGTGTCAACCTTACCAATCTACGAAGACTGATCTCCGAAGAACTTCCATGGCAGTGGACGAAAACTGAAGAAGACGAGTTCAACAAGGTGAAATCATTGTTTGCAGATATCGGGACGCTGCGTTACTACGATCCTAATCTCCCGCTGACAATAGAGTGCGATGCCAGTTGCTATGGTTTGGGGGCTGCGGTTTTTCAGCAGGACGGAGTAATTGGTTTCGCATCAAGGACCCTGACGGCAGCAGAAAAAAATTACGCACAGATCGAAAAAGAGCTGCTGGCGATCTTGTTCGCGTGTGTACGGTTTGACCAACTCATCGTTGGAAATCCGAAGGCTGTTGTTAAGACCGACCACAGACCTTTGATCAACATTTTCCAGAAGCCGCTACTAAACCTGCAGCGCTACAGTTTATCCATAGTTTACGTAACCGGTAAAGACAATGTAGTCGCCGATGCTCTCTCTCGAGCCCCGGTGATCATCAGCGAACCAGAGGACGAATACAGAAAACTCAGTATCTTTAAGGTGCTCAAGGAAGTCGAAGATTTGAAGCCGACCAGCTACCTGAGCATCTCTGATCAACGTCTGAGTGATATAATACAGGAAACGATGAAGGATCCATCGATGCAGCAAATTGTCGACTACATCCGTCATGGTTGGCCGACGGTGCTCGATAAAGTTCCCGACAATGTTAGAATTTATTACAACTACCGAAATGAATTGAGCACGGTTGATGGATTGATTCTGCGAAATGACCGGATTGTTGTACCATACACGTTGCGACGCAAGTTGATCAAATGCTGTCATGTTAACCATGGTGGTGTGGAGGCAACATTGAAGTTGGCCAGGGCAAATCTCTTCTGGCCTGGTATGAGTACCCAAATAAAAGACGTCGTGAAGGAATGTATGGTTTGCGCAAAGTACGCTGCTTCTCAGCCAAACCCTCCAATGATGAGCCACAGCATTCTGGTATTTCCTTTCCAACTGGTGAGTATGGATGTATTTCTCGCGGAGCTTCGAGGTCGCAAGCAGAAGTTTCTCGTCTCGGTCGACTACTACTCCGACTACTTCGAGGTCGATCTTTTGGAAGATTTGACTCCGGAATCCGTTATTCGAGTGTGCAAAAAGAATTTTGCCCGTCACGGTGTGCCACAGACGATATTGACGGATAATGGCACCAACTTTATCAACCGCAAGATGGTCCAGTTTGCGAAAGATTGGGATTTTGAGCACATCACGTCATCACCACATCACCAGCAAGCAAATGGAAAGTCAGAAGCGGCGGTGAAAATAGCCAAGCGGATGATGAAGAAATGTGAGGACACAGGAGAAGATTTCTGGTTCGCCCTTCTTCACTGGCGCAATGTACCGAACAAGATTGGCTGCAGTCCAGCAGCTCGTCTTTTCTCGCGCTCTACACGATGCAGAGTTCCCTCTTCGGTGGCGAATTTACTTCCAAAAGTGGTGAAGAATGTACCTGAAGCTATTGAAAAACAGCGTAAACGGTCCAAGTTTCACTATGATGTAAAATCTCGCAAGCTACCTGATTTGCAGGTGGGTTCTCCCGTTTGCTCAGCTGAATCCGGAGGAAACGAAAATATGGACGCCAGGAGTAATATCAGGCCAGCTGAGTGACCGTTCGTACTTAGTCAACGTTTCTGGCGCGGAGTACCGGCGAAGCTTGGTTCGTTTGAAGCCACGATACGGAAGCACGGAGGACAATACCAGATTAACGATACGATCGGTTCAGCATTTTTTCAATAATTCCTATATTGCTGCTACTACAAATTCGAATGCTGTTTCTGCCACTCCGAAGGAAATTGAAGGTCACCCAGCGAGCTGTCATATAGGTGAAAACACACCGCCTCCTGCGATTCAGTCGTCTTCATCGTCAGT